TCGGTTCGAAAACCAAAACTTTTTTCATACTTTTTTGTTGGATATCTCGGGTAAATATTGTCGGATTTTGAAATGTTATACGTTTTTGAATTCGTACGGAACCCTAATATTAATTTGCATTCAAAGAAATTAAATATCGATGGGTTACAAAAAGTTGTTGACCAAAAACCAATTGGTTCTTGTAAAGTCAACTTTTTTGATGATTTTTCGGAGTATCTCCGTCAAATAATGTCCGATTTTCGAATTTTATACCATTTTGAGCTCGGGGTCGGTTCGAAAACCAAAACTTTTTTCATACTTTTTTGTTGGATATCTCGGGTAAATATTGTCGGATTTTGAAATATTATACCTTTTTGAATTCGTACGGAACCCTAATATCAATTTGCATTCAAAGAAATTAAATATCGATGGGTTACAAAAAGTTGTTGAACAAAAACCAATTGGTTCTTGTAAAGTCAACTTTTTTGATGATTTTTCGGAGTATCTCGTGCAAATAATGTCAGATTTTGGAATTTTATACCATTTTGAGCTCGTAAGGATCAGTACTATCGATTGGCATCAAAAAATTGTAAATCCAAAATTTGACCCAAATCGACCAAAATGGCAAGGGGTTACATCACGTTTTTTCTCAAAATCGGGGTCGGTTCGAAAACCAAAACTTTTTTCATACTTTTTTGTTGGATATCTCGGGTAAATATTGTCGGATTTTGAAATGTTATACGTTTTTGAATTCGTACGGAACCCTAATATTAATTTGCATTCAAAGAAATTAAATATCGATTGGTTACAAAAAGTTGTTGACCAAAAACCAATTGGTTCTTGTAAAGTCAACTTTTTTGAAGATTTTTCGGAGTATCTCCGCCAAATAATGTCCGATTTTCGAATTTTATACCATTTTGAGCTCGTAAGGATCAGTACTATCGATTGGCATCAAAAAATTGTAAATCCAAAATTTGACCCAAATCGACCAAAATGGCAAGGGGTTACATCACGTTTTATCTCAAAATCGGGGTCGGTTCGAAAACCAAAACTTTTTTCATACTTTTTTGTTGGATATCTCGGGTAAATATTGTCGGATTTTGAAATGTTATACGTTTTTGAATTCGTACGGAGCCCTAATATTAATTTGCATTCAAAGAAATTAAATATCGATTGGTTACAAAAAGTTGTTGACCAAAAACCAATTGGTTCTTGTAAAGTCAACTTTTTTGAAGATTTTTCGGAGTATCTCGTCCAAATAATGTCAGATTTTGGAATTTTATACCATTTTGAGCTCGTAAGGATCAGTACTATCGATTGGCATCAAAAAATTGTAAATCCAAAATTTGACCCAAATCGACCAAAATGGCAAGGGGTTACATCACGTTCTTTCTCAAAATCGGGGTCGGTTCGAAAACCAAAACTTTTTTCATACTTTTTTGTTGGATATCTCGGGTAAATATTGTCGGATTTTGAAATCTTATACGTTTTTGAATTCGTACGGAACCCTAATATCAATTTGCATTCAAAGAAATTGAAAATCGATGGGTTACAAAAAGTTGTTGACCAAAAACCAATTGGTTCTTGTAAAGTCAACTTTTTTGATGATTTTTCGGAGTATCTCCGCCAAATAATGTCCGATTTTCGAATTTTATACCATTTTGAGCTCGTAAGGATCAGTACTATCGATTGGCATCAAAAAATTGTAAATCCAAAATTTGACCCAAATCGACCAAAATGGCAAGGGGTTACATCACGTTTTTTCTCAAAATCGGGGTCGGTTCGAAAACCAAAACTTTTTTCATACTTTTTTGTTGGATATCTCGGGTAAATATTGTCGGATTTTGAAATATTATACCTTTTTGAATTCGTACGGAACCCTTATATCAATTTGCATTCAAAGAAATTAAATATCGATGGGTTACAAAAAGTTGTTGAACAAAAACCAATTGGTTCTTGTAAAGTCAACTTTTTTGAAGATTTTTCGGAGTATCTCGTCCAAATAATGTCAGATTTTGGAATTTTATACCATTTTGAGCTCGTAAGGATCAGTACTATCGATTGGCATCAAAAAATTGTAAATCCAAAATTTGACCCAAATCGACCAAAATGGCAAGGGGTTACATCACGTTCTTTCTCAAAATCGGGGTCGGTTGGAAAATCAAAACTTTTTTCATACTTTTTTGTTGGATATCTCGGGTAAATATTGTCGGATTTTGAAATGTTATACGTTTTTGAATTCGTACGGAACCCCAATAATAATTTGCATTCAAGGATATTAAATATCGATAGGTTGCAAAAAGTTGTTGACCAAAAACCAATTGGTTCTTGTAAAGTCAACTTTTTTGATGATTTTTCGGAGTATCTCCGTCAAATAATGTCCGATTTTCGAATTTTATACCATTTTGAGCTCGGGGTCGGTTCGAAAACCAAAACTTTTTTCATACTTTTTTGTTGGATATCTCGGGTAAATATTGTCGGATTTTGAAATATTATACCTTTTTGAATTCGTACGGAACCCTAATATCAATTTGCATTCAAAGAAATTAAATATCGATGGGTTACAAAAAGTTGTTGAACAAAAACCAATTGGTTCTTGTAAAGTCAACTTTTTTGATGATTTTTCGGAGTATCTCGTGCAAATAATGTCAGATTTTGGAATTTTATACCATTTTGAGCTCGTAAGGATCAGTACTATCGATTGGCATCAAAAAATTGTAAATCCAAAATTTGACCCAAATCGACCAAAATGGCAAGGGGTTACATCACGTTTTTTCTCAAAATCGGGGTCGGTTCGAAAACCAAAACTTTTTTCATACTTTTTTGTTGGATATCTCGGGTAAATATTGTCGGATTTTGAAATGTTATACGTTTTTGAATTCGTACGGAACCCTAATATTAATTTGCATTCAAAGAAATTAAATATCGATTGGTTACAAAAAGTTGTTGACCAAAAACCAATTGGTTCTTGTAAAGTCAACTTTTTTGAAGATTTTTCGGAGTATCTCCGCCAAATAATGTCCGATTTTCGAATTTTATACCATTTTGAGCTCGTAAGGATCAGTACTATCGATTGGCATCAAAAAATTGTAAATCCAAAATTTGACCCAAATCGACCAAAATGGCAAGGGGTTACATCACGTTTTATCTCAAAATCGGGGTCGGTTCGAAAACCAAAACTTTTTTCATACTTTTTTGTTGGATATCTCGGGTAAATATTGTCGGATTTTGAAGTGTTATACGTTTTTGAATTCGTACGGAACCCTAATATCAATTTGCATTCAAAGAAATTAAATATCGATGGGTTACAAAAAGTTGTTGACCAAAAACCAATTGGTTCTTGTAAAGTCAACTTTTTTGATGATTTTTCGGAGTATCTCCGCCAAATAATGTCCGATTTTCGATTTTATACCATTTTGAGCTCGTAAGGATCAGTACTATCGATTGGCATCAAAAATATGAAAATCGAAAAGGTCGTTTTGAAACGACATAACTCCGCGCGGAGTTATGACGTTCCAAAACGACATAACTCCGCGGGAGATATGACGTTCCAAAACGACATAACATCAGGCGGAGATATGACGTTCCAAAACGACATAGCTCCAGGCGGAGATATGACGTTCCAAAACGACATAGCTCCAGGCGGAGATATGACGTTCCAAAACGACATAGCTCCAGGCGGAGATATGACGTTCCAAAACGACATAACTCCGCGCGGAGATATGCCCTTCCAAATCATCACGTTTTTTATCAAAATCGAGGTCGGTGCTAAAATCGAAACTTTTTCGATGATTATGCCCTAAAACATGAAAAGGATTCGGTTTTTGCCATATATTTGTTTTATTTCTTTTCAATTTATTTATTTACGACAAAATACACAAAATTTTTGATTCGATTTATTTACTTGTTCTCCTGCACTCTGAAACATATTTTAATTCAATTCAATTTAGGTTAATTGCGCTTAATATACAATAGAAAAAAAATATATATACATATATATATCTTTAATTTTTATTCAAATATATATATATATATATATATATATATATGTAAATTTATAGTTCTGTTATTTTGAATTGTGTGTAAATGCTTTTACTTTGCGGATTCTTCGGTTCATCTAGAGTTTGTTAGCTTTTGTTATTATTGTTATTGTTATTATTATTGTTGCTTCTTATCGACAAATGCACAGTTTAACATTTTGTGTATTCGCATTTCGGCTTTATCATTGTCATAAACAAATCTGTGTGTGTGTGTGTGTGTTTGTGTGTTCTTTACAGGGCCGCAAAAACTGTTTCCGAGCTATTAGGAAAATAAAAAGTATTCCCCGACGAACTAATTGAAATTATTATTTCTCGTTCTTGATGAGTCGTAAATGTATGAGATTTGACATTGCAGATTTCTAGGAAGTACGTCATAAACTGATTTGTTTTAAATTAGAATCTATAGCGTGATTATAATTCCTGCACCTTCAATTTACTATCGTACTCCAACTGAACAGTTTAGGCAGCTATAATACATTCAGATCCGACTTCATTTGACTGAGTTACAATCGTTTAAGATATCATTATAATTGTTCCTCGAAGTATTCTCCAATTTCGAACTATTTGGGAATCTTAGTTTCTAATTGCCTTGCAGCTCGTTAAATATTTGAAAGAATTGCAGAATTGCAGCCTTGTCTAATTATGCTAGAAAATCAAATTGTGTTAAAGCAAAATCAATCGAACTTAGATTTAGATTTCGCACAAATATCGTCTTTTGATAACTTCACAGAGTTATTTATTACTCGTTACAGGGGATAATGACAATATGTGGACTTACAAAATTGCTTTAACTAAATTTAAATTGTTTAAATTGATATTTTCTTATGTTTTTGTTATAATTTGTTGTTGTTGTAATTTTTGCTTAAGTTTTGCATTTTTGTTTTTTGTTTTTTTTTTTTGCTAAAAACTAAGAAACAATTTGTGAAATGTATTAAAAAATGGTGAGAGAATTTGTTACAAAAAAAATATATATATATAATAATAAATGTAAACAATATAAATGAATGTGCGTAATAAAAAGTAAACATTTTACAAAGAATTTGTAAAAATTCGAACGCATTTTGTGTGAGTGCGTGTGTGTGTGTGTGTGTGTGTGTGGAAGAGCGGCGGCGACAGAAGCGTCATAGTAAAAGTAGTGTTGTAAAGTGTGCACTGAACTAAGTGTGTGTAAGTGAAAGGTGTTGCCCGTTGTTTCCGTTTGGCACAGTGGGACGATGTCATTGCGATCGGGCAGTAATTGTAGTTTGACAGTGTTGCAAAGCAACAAATTCTTGCAGCTAGCAGTGTGGCAAGTGTTGCAATGCAACAACTTGTTGAAGCTCGCAGCACTGTTTCAGTTGATGCTCATGTTAAAGAAACGTTTTTTTTCTGGATGGTTTTGTGCGATTGTAGTTCAGCTTATGGACTAAATGGACAGCGATGACGACAAATACAAATACAAATACAAATACAAATACAGTTGCGAATGCAAATACAAATACACATGTTTGTGCATGTGTGTGTGTGTGTACGCATGTGAATATATATCTATATGTCTGTATATAAGTGTATCTATATGTAAGTAACTAACACACGGCACAATTAACTTTTGTTTACAAAATTTGTTTGTTGGTTTTTTTTTGTTTTTTTTTTGGTAATTTCTGCTTATTTATCGAGAAAAGGCCACAAAATGCGTTTGCGAATGCGTGCGAAATGCATTAATTTTATATATAAGCTTTAGCTTTAGCTGGATATCTGATTCCTTAACTGATTTATCCAACTATGCCCGGGCCAGGCCTTTTGCCGTCGTGTGGCACATACACACACTGACATACACATATATATATAATATCGGAGTACATTTTGCTATGTCTAGACATATATATATATATATAAATATATATCTATATATGTATATATATATATATATCTATACATGTAAGATTATCGTTCGATTCCCTTGATTTCTGATGCGCTCGCCAGCTCGCTCTAACAAATGCGTTCTCTCTCTTTCTCTCCGTTTCGCTCTTTCGCTCGTTCGCTCTCTCTTTCGTTCTCATTCTCGCTTTCGGTCAACTCCTCTCTCGTTCTGTCTCAGCTCCCTCTCTCATTTCCAGTTGCAATTCCTTTGGGGGTTACGTCGTCAATGCCATTTGCTGCACATCCCATTCGATTAGGTTTCACGCCTTGGCGCCGGGTATCTTGGCCAGCACCTTGGACAGATCCACCCCGGTCAGCGCATTGATCGAGGGCGGCAGCTGTGCCACGAGGCGTGTCACATCGTTGGTCACATTATCGTTGCCACCAATCAGCACAATCTCATCCGTCTTGGCCAATGGGGCGGCCACCTCGGCGGCAATCTGGAAGCGCATATCAAAGTTGATCAGTCTCTTCCGCACTTTCTCCCCCTCCCTCTCTCTCTCGCTCTTACCTTGGGCAACGACTCCAGCACTATATTCATGATGGCCGCATCGCCGTACTGCTTGTAGACATTCGCCTTCATACGCATGCGTTCCGCCTCCGCCTTACCCACCAGCTCAATGGCATGAGCCTCCGCGGAACCGATCTTCCGTATGCGCTCCGCCTCGGCCCGTGCACCCTCAATGGTCTGGCATCTGTGTTGAAGGGAAAGTGGAAATCGGAAATCGGTTAGCCAAAAGAATTACACATGCTGCTATAGCACTCTCTAGCAAGATCTAGAATGACCAAGCAAGGTTCGGCTCATGAGCCTGGTGATTCACATCTGTGAGGTCAGCTCTGTGTTCGAACCTGGGTTCGAGAGCTTATCCATGTCTTTATGAAAAGAATACAAAGTGCTTCCAGAAGGAAAGTTCTAAGCTGGATTTGGAAGTCTTGGAATAGGGACAAATCCGGGATTAACTCTGGCTCCTACTCAATTTGAGCTCAACAAATCTTCCATTTAATTTATTATACTAAGTTCTAAGCTGGACAACTGAATTTGAAAGTCCTGTAATTGAGATATAACCGGAATTAGCTCGTTCTTAGAGTGTTTACTTACTGCTTGCCCTGGGCAATGGTCTGGACGCGATACGACTCGGCCTCGGCTGGCAGCTTGACGGTGCCGATAAGTTCGCGATCCTTGCGCTGCACCTCCTGCGACTCGATCTCGATCTGTTTGCGCCGCTCGACAACCTCGATTTGGATCTCCTCGTTCCGGATGCGCTGGCGTATCTTGGCCGCCTGGAGTTCGTAGGCCAGCTGGGACTCGGCCTTGGCCGTGTTGATCTCCTGATCGAAATTGGCCTTCTGCAGCTTGTACATGCGCGTATTGTCCTCGATCTTGGTGTCCGTCGAGTACTTCACATCCATGGCGCTCTTCTCGCACTCGGCCTCCCGAATGCCGGCATCACGATTTGCCTCCGCAACGCCTGCATCGGCATCCCGCTTAACCACAGCGGTCTGGGCCTTGCCCAGCGAGGCCAGATACTGCACATCGTCGTAGACGTCCTTGATGGTAAAGGACAAGATCTCGATGCCCATGCGGCCGACATCAGGTGCGGCCACCTCGCGCACCAGAGCTGCGAACTGGTCGCGATCTTTGTAGACCTCCTCGACTGTAAGCGTTCCTATAAAGCGAAACAGCGATAGAGTATGAGAAGGTGAGAGTGAGAGAGACAGGGCGACACATCAATCAATTGGCAGTGACAGGTCTCAGCTGCGCAAGCCGCTTACCGTCTAACCACCAGCCAGGTAATGCCCACAATCATGACCACCTTGAAGGTGCCCATCCATACCATAGACATGGCTCTGATCGTTTAGGCCCAGTTAGTCCCCCAGTTGAGTCCCCCAAAGCGGGCAAGTTTGTACTGACGGCGGCGAGCACGCCTAATAACTGTTTTAATCTAGCCACACGCTGTTCACTCGAATGTTCTTCTTCTTCTTCTTCTTCTTCTTCTTGCCCTGGACTTTTAATTAAAACATTTCCTATTACTCTTGACGTCATTGGCGCAGTCTTATCGGCCCAGTCTTGGGCTTATCAGCGCACGTCACGTCCAAAGCTTTTCACGCACGCACACACTTGTCTAGAAAGATGCTTAAAGCTTGCACCCTTGAGCTTTGGTCAGAGCGAGATAAGCACAGGGCTCTCTCTCTCTCTCTCTCTCTTAAAAGCTTTAATTCATGCTCTTCAACATTTGTCAGAGCGAGCTAGATGCGCTGATAAGCTTTAATATTCATTAATATGAAGTAAGCATAATTTGCCTTGTTTTAAGTTAGATACTCTTAAAATTCAGTTGAGCACAAATACACAAAATAGTTCTCGGATCTGCAACATTTTTGCTTGCGGCTTTCGAGCTCAAAAAATTGGTTTCTTTAGCCATTTTTGTAGGTTTCTAGAAAAAGTTTGTTATTAATTTAACTTTTTGTAGTAATGCAATACTAAAATTCTTATGGCTTGACTTTTTTCCCTTAGGTGGCAACTCTGCTTTTTGATTTTCGGCTATTTATTACAAGATTAAGTTGCATTTCCGTGCTTAATGTCTGAAGCTTAAGGTATTTAGTTTGTTGTATTTTGCTAGAGAAGAGTTGCCAACTTGCTTGAGAAGAGTTGCCACCTGTGGCACAGAAAGTTATTGCCACAAGCATCTAGAACTCAGGCATATATATGTAGACACATAGACATATTTTCAAATATTTGCAGGCACTGCAAGATATCGTTAAGTTGCCTTTGCCTTAACAGATATGTCAGTATCAAGACTTGAAGCTGAAGTAAGTATATTTACTTTAGATAGTAGCTACACTATTTTAATGGGACTCCAAGTAATATGTTCCCAAGACTTGCATTTAATCTAAGTATACCTATAAATATAGATATTGATCGTTTGTTTCAGTTATCAATTATATTCTTTGACAATCGATTTTTCTATATATATATATATATCTTAAATTTCTGAATAGTTATCAATTCGTTTCCTTGACACTATATTTTGCTTTTCCATTCAAGCCTTTCAACACAAAACCTGATGACATATACTCAGTTAACCTTCCATTTGGCTGATACGGAAATTGGTTTGGTTTCTCAAACTACATATTCCAGCTGAATTAAGTATTCAGATATCTAGAGTTATGCCCCAAGCAAGTTCAAGGTCAAGAACAAAACACACACACACACACACACACCGGCTGTGCCGTTCACACGCGATTCCATTGAATGTTAGCTAAACGACCTATTGGGGGCGGGAAGGGGCGTGCCAGGCCGGGTCAGTTGACTGTGCGTCTGGCTATATGGCTATATACTTGAGACCCGCTCGAAGACGTCGCGACCGACGCGTTGCTCGACGCGCTTACAACTGACATAAAAAGTAATACAAAAGAAGAGAAATACAAAATTACTTAAGCCGAGAGAGCGGGCCGACTAAACTAATTGAATTTGTGAACGTGTGTTGTACAAATGGAAATCGCCTTGAGAATGAGATATATACCGAGCTATATAGCTATATGCCGACAATAACGAATAACAGCTATATAGCGATTATGGCGCCAGGGTTCCAGCGAGTCGAGCCAAGCCGCAATTATGCGCATTCATGAGTGCCATTTGGTGTGATTCGAATAACACTCACAGTTCGGTTGAATGCACTCGTAAAACCATTCAAGTTCAGTTTGATTAGTGTAATCAATTGGCAGCCAAGGCCAACTCGCGTTATATAACTTGATCAGAAGCTGATGATGTTAGACTTGAGACCCAATGAATCCACTCAATATTTAATGATTCAACTGTTCTAATCAACAGCTACTCGAAAAGCTCAAGTGGTTTTGAGCGTAATGAATGCAAATGAGCGAGCTCTACATCAGCGAATTGTTATCTAGGTATTAGATCTCAACTCATCTGGGAACTGACCTGAGTCAAGTATTTTCGGATGAGTCAATAATAAGTACTTGTGTTTCCCCCGTTGTGGGTGAAAGGCTCAAAAAGAGTGAAACACGTGTTGAATAAATTTCCACAAAGATATTTGAAAAAGAGTTATAAACATTCACACGAGCTCTTTCCGCCAAATTTCGCTCTTATGCTCTTATGTTTATTATCAATCACTTACTCGATCAATCAGCCGGTCAGAATAGCATATGTATACATTTTTATATCTTCTAGGTCAATGTAAAGGACCATCAATCACCATCAATCATGAGTAACTGACTACTCTATATGCCAGTCAAATATATATCATCAATCATTGTATCAATCCGTCAGTCACTCAGTCGGTAATTTGTAAATATATATATTTCTTGCTCTCACGTTTACCATCAATCACTCTGCCAGTCGTTCAATCAGCCAATAATATATATTTCTATTTTTTCAAGCTTCCTAGCTCTGCTGTTAATTATCAATCACTAATTCAGTCAATCAATCAATCAATCAATAAACTATATATATTTTTCGTGCTTTCTAGCTATTATGTCATCAATCACTGATTCAACCAATCCGTCAATCATATATTTTGTTACTAGCCTTTCTTCTGATCATCAATCAGTCAGTCAGAATTAAACACATTTATATTTATATATTATATCTTACCCAATATGGCGCGAAGGTGTCCCTCCAGGGTTTGCAAAATGGTTTGCTTAATCTCCTTGACGCTCTTGCCCAGGAATTGCTCGCTGGCTGTGCCCAGCAGCTCGTCGGCCTGATGATGAAAATAATAAACATTCATCATCTGTGCGTGTGTGCGTGTGTGTGTGTGTGTGTGTGTATTTGTGTGTGCACGTGTGTATATGCGTGTGAGTGTATAGTGATGTTGTTGGATGTGTACGTGTGTGTGTTTGGGTAGGCGAATGATTGGTTAGATGGGTTGATGTAAGTGTTATTCATTAATTGGTATTTGTTGATCAACACGGCACACAGACAGAAAGAGATAGGATAGAGAGAGAGAGAGAGAGAGAGAGAGAAAGTGACACAGACAGAGCAGCACAGCAGCCACAGCGGAAGTTGATGATCCAAAGCCACAGCCAAATAAATGAGTAGTTTTGTGTAATTGTTGAATAGTTATCGGGTATTTATCGAGTAGTTTTTGATTAGTTTGAGGAATTGTGATTAATATGGACCAAAACACACACACACAGAGGCACACGCACACACGAGCACACATTGAGCGTTGCCAACAGTAACCATAACAGTAACCATAACAGTAACCGTAACATTAACAGTAACATTAGCAGTAACATTAGCAGACGTTTGGCAGTAGGCGTAATTCAATCAGATGATGTTGTTGGTTAAGATTATTATATATTAGATATTTTGTTTTTTTTTTGTCAAGCGATTTGTTAATTTTGATTTGTTATCATTTACAGTTGAGTTTTTTTTAGTCGGATTCGTTTGATGAGTTGAGTTGATTCGAGGCGAGTTGAGTTGAGTTGATTGGAGTTTGATTCGAGCGATTCGAGCGCAGGGTAAGTGGTTGGTAAAAGAAAGTAGAGAAAAGGTAAAAAAAACACAAATGTCAACAAATTTCGACTGTTATATATATGTATACACTGTAGACTCCATTGAATTAAGCTAGGCACGAGTATACTCTAAAATGAATGAATCAATACTGGCTAACTATGTGTTACAAATCATAATTCAATATTCAAACGACAAACATGCAGCAAATAATATGGCAGCTAAAAACAGGACTTTCGAGTTCAGATCTCTGAGTTCCGATTCAAATGTGTGCACGTGTTGTGTGTGTGCGTGTGTGTATGGATGAGTAAGTGTGTGAGTGAGTCATTTCTGCAAAATTGATCAACCAAACCGAATCGAAAGGAAAATATAGCAGAATAACAAGAAGAAGAAATGATGTAAACGCAATAAACATACCTCGTTGTTAGCATAATCATTATTTTTATACGAAGATGACTGTAATAATGAAATGAAATAATTAAGTAAGAACATAATTTCGAATCATTGATCCAAATAGGCTCAACTTTGCGAATCAAATCGTAAGTGAAACACAATAACTAATATCTGAAAGGCGAGCGTGTGTGCGATTACGTATGTGAGCATAAATAATAATCTATCGAATACAATCGATTCGATTCACAGCCACTGTGAATGGTTGATTCGTAGGTACTGTGATTTTTGATTCACGCTGAACATAATACGAAATATGTACTTCAAATAGCCCTGATGCTAATGCGTCAAATACAACAATGCGAAATGTAATTCAATTCACAGCTGCTGTGAATGTGTGAATCTGTGTGAAGAATGATTCAAATGTGTTGCACTCCTAGCAGGAGTTTGTTTACGGTACAACAATGAATCAGTTCACAGCTACTGTGAATGAATGAATCATTTGCTAAAGCTCCGAACTATGATTGAAATGTGCTGGTCCTAGTTCATGGTGCATATTTCAAAGTGTGATTCGAATCACAGCTACTGTGATTCCTCATGCAAATGCGTTGCTCCGATTATTCTTAGCTTATTTACAGCAATACTTGAAATGACTGTGCGACAAATGATTCACAGCGACTGTGATTACTGTGAATGTTGTGCATAAGAGATATAGTACGAGTCACAAGAATGACTCAAACGCTTTACTCGAAACTATGTGAACTGTGTCGACTGAGTTTTGTGTGAAACTAAAGAATTTTGACAAATTTATGATTCATTCTAAACTTACTTTTGATGGATCAGATCTAATTCGCTTGCAAGGCTAAATATAATTGAATTGAATTTGTTTTTGTGTTTTTTTTTTTGTTAGGGGGAGGGGGTTCGGAAAATGTTAAAACATACATAAAACAAAACAAAATAGCTAAATGGGATTAAAATAGGTGTCAATATATTTATATAATATTCATTGAAAATAAGTTACATTTGCTCAAAGGAAGCCAAATTTCAGACGCGTTTCTACGTAGCTACCAAAATGCATGCCAAATACAAGAGTTCAGATAGGTAATTAACTATACGATATACGATATACGATATACGATATACGATATACGATATACGATATACATATATGTATATATATGCATATAAATATCTGTAGAATAGGGGGGGAGAGGCGCATAAATAGAAGCTAGAAAACTTGCATAACATAACTGAAAAGCTGCAACAATACTTCTCTCACTTTGGAGAGTTGCTAGGATACTCGATGAAGGTTGACTAAGAAGAAATTGCGGCTAAAGCTGGCGCCCGCCCGCCCACATACCTTCATGATCTTGCACTGGGCCACGCCCGTCACGGTCAGCGGCACGCCCTGAGCCGTCTCCACGTTCTCGCACAACGGATCCAGTGTCATCACATTCAGCGAGAGCCGCTGCACGTCCGTCACCAGCCACCAGGCCCAGGCCCAGCCGCCGACGATCGTTCGCTTCTTCGTCGAGCCGCAGCAGCCACCTGCAAGAAGAGAGCGAGAGCGAGAGAGAGAGAGTGAGTGAGAGAAGGGTGAGTGTGTGAGTTATTATTTAATAGTGCAGGCAATTTAGCCTTTTTAAAGCTAAATTTGCAAATGCACATGATATCATAATAGAATATTATATAAGTATTAATATTATATAATATATTAAAACACAGTATTTCAGTGTTTATAAACCTATTAAATTTACTTAAAAAAGTGTTGGTAAAATTTTAATTTTTTTTAATTGTTACTTTTGTATAACATATGTATACAAAATAAGCATTTCGACAGTACTATGAGAACTAAACATTAAAAATAAGTATACAAAAGAAAAAATAAGACGAAATATTTTTGACTTGCAACTAATAAACTTTTCATATTTAATTACAATATATTATATTTATTAAAGATGTGAGGTCTAAAACTTCCAGCGACTTGAAACATATCAACTGCCACAGAAAGCTACATTTTACAGGGTATAGCAATAGTCTGTCTGCGCTTTAAGCCACACTTAGCCGTTTTAACGCTAACAATTTGGCTACTTGCCGCTCGGTGAGCACTGCTGACGTCATTGGGGCAGGCCAGGTCTCTGCTGAACTGAAGCTGACCCACAAATGTCGCACGCATTTTTTTTTGGCTAGGGGCGCAGCGTCGTTGTGGCTTATATAGTAAGAGTGAAAGCATTTCGCTGTCGCCAAAGCTCTGCGCGCGTGTGTGTGTGTGTGTGTGTGTGTGGGCTGTCTACGTGCCGGCAAACACGTCACGGCGCGTCAAAGAGTTGATGGATGAGCAGGTATTGGGCCAAGAGGGTCGGCAAGAGCCGCCAAACAGGAAGCGATTGGCCATTTGAAGTGCCAGCTAACGGGTCAATTCGCCAGCTGCACACAGCAACACAACAGCACGCCGCTGCCCGTTGGCGTCGCTGCCGCCGCCGGCAAGCCCACTGCGCAAAGCCAAAGGGCAGCGCGATGGCTGCGCAGCCGCAAAGGCGCACACGAACAAGCTTCGACTGTGCGCCTATGTGTGTGTGAGAGAGAGAGAGAGAGAAAGAGAGCGTTTTGGAGTGGCCATTTCTAGCTGTGGCTGTTTGGGCTCCGTTTTATTGCCTCAATGCCTCAGTTGCCCAGCGAACGTCGCAGCGCGCGGCCGCAGTTACCGCACAGAAAGAAAGTGTTAAAGAAAGCGTTCAAAAAAGCTTACCCATTCGAACGAACGCAGGCTTAAAGTGTGAGCAAAAGCAAAAGGCAAAGGCAGCAGCAAGCAAAAGCTTTGATTCCTTTGACAGAGTTTCAAAGCGCAAGTGAGTAAAAAGCAGGGCAACTTATAAGTACACATGTGTGTGTGTGTGTGTGTGCGCGCGCGTAAACAAACACAATCAGAATGCAAAAGTGTGCCAACGCCAAAAAGAAATCAAAGTCAACAAAAGCAGCGACGGCGGCAGCAACAGCAACAACAAGGCACGCGCAGAAAACAAAATTCTAAGCCGACGCTTGCGTAGCGGCAGCAGCGACAGCGACAGCGACAGCGACGCCTACGCCAGAGAAGCTTTCTCAACGAAAGTGATTCATAGTCGCTTCGTTAAGTGTTCGTTGTGATAACTGTAACTGTTGTTGTTGTTGTTGTTGCTGTTGCTGTTATGCATTTCTCTTTAGCGCTGTGTGCTCAACTATTTAGCGGCTATTCGCATGCTGCTGCTGACTGCACAAAAGCTGCGCTGCCGCTGTTGCTGCCGCTGCGGCTGCTGTGCTTTTTTTTTTTTGTATTTTTCGCTGGTACCTTGAACTTGAGCAGCGCTGCGCGCATTCAACTCGGCGCGGTGGCAACCTGTTTGCAACAACAAGTTTGTAATTGCGACTACAACAACAACAACAACAACAAGAGCTTTGGCTAGTGCTGCCACAGTTAGCGGTTAGTTTAGCTCGAAGCTAGCCAAAGATTATGCAAAGTCAGCGACAGGAAACGTTTTTGGCATTCCACAAGTGCAGCGCCTAGCGCTAGGGCGGCTTGCCACGCCTCGTTGCAAGCGCAACAAACTGGTTGCATGCACACACACATACACATATGCGCACATGCATACATATATTTGTATGTGTGCACTAACAACAATTGTTGCCTGGCTTATTGACCAGAAATAATGGAGTGAAAAGCGGCATTCGCTGGGTTTTTTTTTTATTTGTTATTTATCTTCTTCTTCTTCTTTTTTTGAGGTTTTATAATAGCCAGCAAAGATTTCACTTTTATGCGGGAGGCCTTTTACCCCAACTCCGACTCCAACTCCAACTCCGCTGGCTTCAGCTGTGCAACACGTGCAACAATAGCCCGTTGTTTCCCTTATTAAATCAAATGTAATGTTTTCCATGTTCATCGCTGAGAGATTTACAAAAAAACTAATATATTACTTTCGGGTTATTGACAGCTCTTTGAAAATATTGACAAATTAGCTAGGAAGTAGTCATTCCTGTCGTAAAAGTATCTCCCAGGCGACACCTCTTCCTAGCTTTTGTTTCCCAATGTGATCTCTATTTTATGTATCGCCTATGTATCTCCCAGGCGACACCTCCTCCTAGCTGTCGCACACTTCGCTTTTCGTTTCCCAATGTGATCTCTATTTTATGTATCGCCAATGTATCTTCCAGGCGACACCTCTTCCTAGCTTTTGTTTCCCAATGCAATCTCTATTTTATGTATCGCGAATGTATCTCCCAGGCGAAGCCTATTTCTATTTTTCTAATGAAATCTTTCTAAATGGAATCTCTTTTTGATGTATCGTTAATATATCTCCCAGGCGACACCTATTCCTAACTCTCAGACATCACGTCTTTCGTTTCTCAATATGATCAGATCACGCACCCTGTTTCCCAAAGTTATCTCTATCGTATCGCTAATGTATCTTCCAGGCGACACTGTTGCATAATGTCTCTGCGAATGCATTGCCCATTTCCTGATGATTCACTTTCGCTAGATTCTTTGACAAACTAAAGGAATGAATATCGCTAGAAGATGCAAAAGCGATAAAAGCGCGATACTCGGCGATAGATTCACCTGCCAGAATCCCATTCTCATTCCTTCCATCTAGCTAAATGATGAGGTTAAGTTATCAAGCTTTCACACACGTGCGCTGCATACGTGAGAGCTTTCGTAGAATCAATAGAGCTTTCGCGCTGACTAGAACTAGTCCATTGAGGTTAAGTTGAAGGCTCGTTAAATTTGAAACTCCATGCAGATCGTTTGGCTCTGATAAGCGAGTCGGGCGTGTTGTAATGCCCCGTTGGGCAAATGGATGGGGTATGCATGACAAACGGCAGCCGCGATCGGGTTACGAAATCGCCGAAATGCGGCAAGTTCGTGATCGAAATGTTGAGGCGCGTGAAAAGCTGCGTCCCCAAAGCAAGCGAATCGCCTAACCCGATTACATACATTACAAACGTGACTTTTCATGACATATTCATCGTGTTTTTGTTGCTGTTGCTGTTGCTGTTTTGCAGACACGTCGCGCATTGGAAGATCGCCATCGCTTGACTTGGACACAGCTTGATCGAAGGAAGGCTTCCAGCGATGAGCTCGGCTATTGTGGGCGCTGCCTCGGCGATCGGTGGCGCGGTGACGGCGGCAACCAGCAACAGTTGGTTCATACCCATGCTTATGGCAGCGGTGGCCTATTTCCAGTACGAGGAGATCATGGATCCCGAGTCGAAGCCCAGCGATGTCAGCAGCGATGACATACTGGATCACTACGATTTCATAGTGATAGGCGCCGGCTCAGCCGGCGCTGTCGTAGCCAATCGCTTGACCGAGGTGGAGAACTGGAATGTGCTTCTGCTCGAGGCGGGCGGCGATGAGACGGAACTGACGGATGTGCCCCTCATGGCCGGGTATTTGCAGCTCTCCAAGATTGATTGGCAGTACAAGACGGAGCCATCGGGCAAATCATGTTTGGGTAAGCCTGTTGAACTGGACCTTCTACAGAAGTGCCTCTTACTGACCTATGTTCCTCCAAGGCTCTAAGAGTTTTCCTCTTAGTTCTCCAACCTTTACGCTACCTTTACAATTTCTTGCTGAGGAATTTCACCCTGCAGGCACTTTCCCTACAAGGTTTCTTTCCAAAAGGGTATTCCTGTAAGATTCTCCACCAAGTTAGTGCCGACAAAGAGGATTTCCTTGCAAAGCAATCGCTGCAGGATTCGCTCCTTAAAGATATTTGCCTTAAGCAAGTCATATTTAATGTCTTTTCCAAGTTTTCTTTCTTTAACTATATCATCAGGGGTATTCCTCAATAAGAAGAGGCAACCTTTCCCTTTTAGCAATCGAATGATGTTTTTTTAAATTCCTTTCTAAAGAGACTTCCAATAATGTACTCTCTTTGCATTCACTGCTAAGATTTTTTGCAAGAATTTCAATTTTAAGCTTGTTCCTTGAAGAAGGGTTTCCCTTCCAAGGAGCTCCCTCTTAAAGGTATTCCTCAAAAAGAACTCTCTCTCGTGGTAAGAGGCTTCTCATAAGATGTCTTTGTTAAGTTTTGTTTCTAAGAACTTACTTTAAGGTCCATCCTAAGGTAGTTATCCCCAAGGAATTTCCATTCAAAGAGCATCCTTCTAACAATCTGCTTCTTACAGCTATGCAAGGCGGACGCTGCAACTGGCCCAGGGGCAAGGTTTTGGGTGGCAGCTCCGTGCTAAATTACATGCTCTATTTGCGCGGATCGAAGCACGACTATGACAACTGGGAGGCGCTGGGCAATCCCAGCTGGTCGTATCGCGATGCCCTGTACTATTTCAAGAAGTCGGAGGATAATACCAATCCGTACTTGGCCAGCACGCCCTATCATGCCACGGGCGGCTATTTGACGGTGGGCGAGGCACCCTACCATACGCCGCTGGCGGCCAGCTTTGTGGAGGCGGGCGTGGAGATGGGCTACGACAATCGCGATTTGAATGGCGAGAAAATGACGGGCTTTATGATTGCCCAGGGCACCACAAGGCGTGGCTCGCGCTGCTCCACCTCCAAGGCGTTCCTCCGTCCGGCCCGACTGCGTCCCAATCTGCACATCTCGATGAACTCGCATGTGACGCGCATTATGATCGATCCGGTCAGCAAGCTGGCATTCGGCGTCGAGTTTGTCAAGGACCAGAAGCTCTACCATGTACGTGCCACCAAGGAGGTCGTCCTCTCCGGCGGCTCGGTGAACAGTCCCCAGCTCTTGATGCTCAGCGGCGTGGGCCCGCGCAAGCAACTGGCCAAGCATCGCATACCGCTCATCAAGGAGCTGAGCGTGGGCGAGAATCTGCAGGATCACATCGGTCTGGGCGGGCTCACGTTTCTGGTCAATCAGCCGGTTTCCATAGTGGAGAATCGCTTTCACACCATGTCCACGGTGCTGCAGTATGCGGTTTTCGGCCAGGGTCCGCTCACCATTCTGGGCGGCGTCGAGGGTCTCGCCTATGTGAATACCAAGTATGCGAACAGCTCGCTGGACTGGCCGGACATAGAGTTCCATTTTGTGTCCGGCTCGACCAACTCCGATGGCGGTTCGCAGCTGCGCAAGGCGCATGGCCTGACGGACGCCTTCTATCGGTCCGTGTTCGAGCCGATTAACAATCGGGATGCCTGGAGCATAATACCGATGCTGTTGCGTCCACGCAGCACGGGCAGCATCAAGCTGCGCAGCAGCAATCCCTTCGACTATCCATACATCTTTCCCAACTATCTGGCGGATGAGTTCGACCTGAAGACCCTCATCGAGGGCGTCAAGGTCGCCGTCGCGCTCTCCCGCACCAAGGCGATGCAGCGCTTCGGCTCCCGGCTCTCGAGCATACGCTGGCCGGGCTGCGAGCAGCTGCCTCCGTTCACGGACAGCTACTGGGAGTGCATGGTCCGGCGATATACATCGACCATCTATCATCCCGTCGGCACCTGCAAAATGGGACCCTACTGGGACAAGGATGCGGTCGTCGATGCCAAGCTCCGGGTCTACGGCATCCGTGGACTGCGCGTCATCGATGCCAGCATCATGCCCAAGCTGGTCTCGGCCAATACGAATGCGCCGGTGATCATGATCGCCGAGAAGGGCAGCGATATGATCAAGGAGTTCTGGATCAAGAATACAATAGTCTGATAAGCCAAACTTCAACTGTGCGTCTACGAGTATGTGTTTGTATCTGTGTGTGTGTGCGTGTGTGTGTGTGTTTGTATCTGTGTGTGAGTCCGTGTATTTATATTGTTTATTTTTTTTTTTGTGCTCTTAGACTTAATGCAAGTTCTTTATTAATAGTTTTTTTTTTGTTATTCATAAGCAAATTGTATGTATTTATTGTAACTGAACGAAACATCGAACCAGCGTCCATTAAAATGAGTATTTCACTGAATTTGAGGTTTGAAATGCGTACGACAATCCAATTCGAAGGTAGCATAAGCTTATATATACCTGATCAGCATTAACAGCCGTGTCGATATAGTTCCTCCACCACAATATCATATGGCTCTTGTATAAACAATTTCTTTGTTCTTATTAAACTTTACGCACAAGTTCGAACATGCCCCAACATGGACTGGCATATCGTTTAGTTCTATAGAAGGAATCGGAGTCCGAACAAATTTCTTTCGCACTAGGGTTTTTGTATATCATATAAAGCTGACTCTTATGCCTTGTTATATTCTTCATTCTTATTATAATTATTGCTATCAATATTAATAAGTATTATAACCAGCATCCTTCTATATGACAGATAAGTGCGAAAACTAAGCTAACGAGAAGTTTTCAAGCCTGTTCATGAACAAAAGTTACGCATGCGCAAATGCCCAAAGCATTTGAAAAGGGTGCTGATTTATGTATATATTTTGATCAAAATATATATATACATTTATATATAATGTGGGTTATATTCTGTTTAATATTAATATGTTCAATATTCTCAGTATAAATCTTATATACATAAAACAGATAGCAGATCGGATATTATTGCTCTGTTATATATGGGCACAATTCGATAGTATATATATGAATATATATATTATCATTTATTGGACTAAGTGAGGGTATATTTTGCCCTATCAGCTGTTGTACGCGCTTTGGCTCTTTGGTTCTATTGATTGGCATAGAAGCTACCAGGTATTTCATTGGTTGCCGCAGCTGCTTGTGGTACGAAAGGCTGATTGGCCGATTGCTGCACCTCATTTGACTGTAGATGCGCCGCTTGCTCCTCTTGCTCCGGCTGCTGCAGTCGGTCCAGCTGCAGCTGATCCTCGCGTAGCATGCGCGCCGCCTGCTCGGCAATCATCATGGTGGGCGCATTGGTGTTGCCCGCCGTTATTTCCGGAATGACGCTGGCGTCGACGACGCGCAGCCCGCGGATGCCGCGCACGCGCAGCCGCTCATCGACGACGCCGCGTGGATCGCCGGCGGCAGCCATGCGGCAGCTGCCGACCGCATGCCACGCCCCCACATACATGTAGCGCATGTGGCACAGCCAATAGGCGTCGGAGTCCGGCGGCAGAGCGTCGCATTCGGGCAGCGGCGGCAGCCACAGCCGCAGGCCGCAGCCGCGAAAGGCGCGCGTCTCCGCCAGGCGCTGCACGTAGCGCACGTAGCGCAGCAAGGTGGCACGGTCCGTGGCATGCCGCGCATAACAATGCTGCACCAGCGGCGGCTGCTGCGGCTCCGCGCTGCGCAGCTCGACATGGCCGCGCGATCGCGGCAGCAGCAAGGAGCCCATGATCTGCAACATGGCCGTCTGCTGCAGTGCCGCACGCTGCGCCGCGATCAGCGCCGGGCGGAAGCCCAGGTAGCCAAAGCTACCCGCGCTGCCGCGCGGCAGCAGCGTGTGCGCCGCCACGTGCACATCCGGCTGGCACATGCCGCAGGCCGGCGCGCTCGAGTTGATGAAGCCCATCATGGCGAAGCTGGCGTCGGTGGCGTCGCTGTCGTCGCTGCCATTGAAAGCACAGGTGTGCGTGCGCGTGAAGCGCAGGTAAAGCGGCAGCATGCCGTGATCGTGCAGATTCCGGCCCACGCCCGCCAGCTGCAGGCGCGGCTTGATGCCCAGCCGGCGCAGCTGCGGCCCAGGCCCAATCCCGGAGAGCAGCAGCAGCTTGGGCGAGTTCAACGCGCCCGCGCTCAGCACCAGCTCTCGGCGCGACCACGCCCACAGCGTACGATTGCTTGCCAAGTGAAGGTAGTTGATGCCACGCGCGCGTCGCCCGTCGGCGCTGAGCAGCAGACGCTGCGCCTCCGCGCCGCGCAGCAGCTGCAAGTTGTCGCCGCCGGACCGCGCCCCTTGGCCACGGGCCAGATACTGCCGGGCGCTGCTGGCGCGTCGAGCCTGGTGTATGGTGGCGGGCACCAGATGCGTGTAGCCGATGCTGCTGCCCGCCAGCAGGGGCTGTTGCAGCGGCTGCACGCCCAGCTCCGCACTGGCGGCATAGATGAGCTCGACGAGCGGCTGCATCGAAGGCGCCAGCGGGAACAGGCTGGGCTGCAGGCGCTGCTGCAGCTGGTGGTAGGCGAGCTGCACCTGCGGCCAGTCCCAGCCGCGGAGGCCGAGCCGCCAGCGCCAGTCGTGGAAATTGGCAGCACTGCCGGGCACATAGACGTTGCCATTGATGGCGCCGCTGCCGCCCAGCATGCGTCCGTGCCACCAGCTGCAGCCGTGCGGCGGCTGCATCGCCTGGCAGCAGCGCGGACTTGGCGCCGCCTCGTCCAGCCACATGTAGCGCACGTCGTGATGCAGCCGTCCGCTCAGCGCATGGTACTCTGCTTCCAACGGCGGCTCCTGGCCCGCCTCCAGCAGCAGCACGGTCACGTTCGGCTGCTCCGCCAGCCGGCTGGCCACAATGGCGCCCGCGCTGCCCGCGCCCACCACAATGTAGTCGAAGCTGGCGCCGCTCGGCGGCGGCTCGATCCGGCGCGGCCAATCGCTGGTGCTCTCGCCACCAGCTCCTGCCAGCAGCAGCAGCAGCAGAAAAAGTGCTGCCAATTTGGCTGCAGCTTGTCGACGCGCGTGTCTCATTTTGAACTGTGCGCGGCCGGGCCAAGGCTGTGCGCCTTGTGCCCATCAAATGTGAGCGCAATAAAAATATTATCCGTATACCCTCACAGCGGGTAGTACGAAAATGTCGCGCAGCTTGTAATGCCCCGATATGTCAGGTATTGATACGTGTGTAGAGTATACATATACGGATATGGAATGGATAATGAAAAATTATCTGCCCTTCAAAGAATCTTTATCAAACTACGAGCTGCACAATTTACCCTGCATATCTGCAAAACCTGCATAAGAACAATCGGACAGATTTAAGGCTAGGCTACAAAAGCGCATCGGAAAGGGTATTTCAAGTGCGACGTGCCGTTATCTTCCCCCACTCGTTATCTTTATGTGCGTTTTGCCTGTTTTCGGTATCCGTTTGTTTGCATTCAGCTGTAAATAAGTACTTAATGTCGGCCAAGTAACAGCTGTGGATGCAGCCCGCCTTCCCTCCCCTCCACGCTCATCAATCAAGCGCAATGCACAATGAACTCGACAATGAAAGAGAGGGAGAGAGGCAGAGCGCAAGCTTTCGCTGTTAATTAACAGTAGATGTTAAGTGCTGAGCAGCGCGGCGTTGACAAACGCTGTTAGCTGCAGCAGCGACGTTTCTACAGCATACCCTGTACACACGAATTGCGTTCTAAGGGCTATGTCCAGTCACCAGCACTTCGATATAAATGAAATATTTATTTATTATTATTATATTTGATTTAATTCCATTTAACATCGCATGAATGCTGTAGACGCGTGCTTCCGTATGCGATGAGACTGGGCACAGGGTATCTGCTAGTCGCAGCACTTTTTCCTTTGTTCTTTTTCTGTTTGCTTGTGCAGTTTTCGGTCGTGTACTTTGAAATTGAATGCCCCGCAGTCTACTAATACTATACTTTGTATAGATATAAAATCGTGTAGTACCCGGCGTTGCCAGGCTAAGAAGTTTTATATTCTAGACTTGGACATAAATAAATATTCCAAATGGCACATTAGTAAGTTTGACTCAATTGCCCTGATTGGCCCCCTCATCCTTATAGTGCGTCGCTTGTAGAAAAATTATTCCTTCGACCTCCCGTTTTGCGAAAATCTTTGAAAATCAGTTTCAGGCCGATCAAAAGCAAACAAGCTGTTTCGCTTTTCGCCCATATTCCACAGTTGCGGGTGGAATTATTTGCACTGCAGCCTTTTAGCTTTCCAGCTCTTACGATGTGCTGATCATCAATCATTCATGCGGTCAGTCAATCAATCAGTCAGTTATATATATATGTATAAACTATAGATATTATGTGGGCGATTTGTGAGTTTACAGGGTATTCGACAAAGCAAACGACCCAATTCTAGCTGAGCGGTGGGTGGGGTAGGCAAAGTACTATTACGAAATGCCGGAGAGAGAGAGAGAGAAAGAGAGAGAGACAATGTCATTGCACCCGTTTTGGCGGGGTCAGCGTTTTTGGGGAATTGCGAAGCCACACGCGCCGGCTCGATTCAGTCCAGACTCGACTCGGATCCAAGATGACGGCGGTGAACACGTTTGTGACCATGTGGCGGTTTCTGCTGACGCTGGGCCCCTCGGCGCTGGTCATCCTGATGCTGAACAAGGGCATCAAGGATCAGCGTCCGGATATTGTCGACGAGCTGCAGCGCGTGCGCACCATATTCATTGAGCAGCTGCGTCCGAGCTATGATTTTGTCATTGTCGGCGGCGGATCGGCGGGCTGTGCGCTGGCGGCACGCCTCTCCGAGAATCCGGCGTGGAGTGTGCTGCTGCTGGAGGCGGGCGGCGACGAGCCGCTGCTGATGGATTTGCCGCAATTGTATCCGGTATTCCAGCGCAGTCCCTGGGACTGGAAGTATCTGACAGAGCCCTCCGATCGCTACTGCCTGGCCATGGAGGATCAGCAGTGCTTCTGGCCCAGGGGCAAGGTGCTGGGCGGCTGCAGCTCGATCAATGCGATGATGTACATACGCGGCAATCGGCGCGACTATGATCTTTGGGCCCAGCTGGGCAATCCCGGCTGGGACTATAACAATGTTCTCCATTATTTCCGCAAGGCCGAGGACATGCGCGTGCCCGGCTTCGAGGAGAGCCCCTATCATGGCCATGGCGGACCCATTAGCGTGGAACGCTATAGATCCCCCTCGCCGCTGCTCGAAGTCTTCATGGAGGCAGCCGCCCAGCTGGGCATGGTCCATCCCGACGGCGACTTCAATGGACGCACACAGACGGGCTTCGCCCCGCCCCACGGCACGCTGAGGGATGGCCTCCGTTGCAGCGCCAACAAGGGCTATATCCGTCGCAGCTGGCAGCGACCCAATCTGGACATTGTGCTCAAGGCGTTCGTGGAGCGTCTGGTCATCGAGCCGGGCAGCAAGCGCGTGCGCGGCGTTCGCTTCGAGCACGGCCTGGTGCAGCATCTGGCGCTGGCCAACAAGGAGGTGGTGCTCGCCGCCGGCGCCTTGGCCAGTCCCCAGCTGTTGATGGTGAGCGGCGTGGGGCCCGCCGAGCAGCTGCTGCCGCTGGGCATCGATCTGGTGCAGCATCTGCCCGGTGTCGGCGGCAATCTGCAGGATCACATCTCCACCTCGGGCGCCATATACACCTTCGACAGCCTGCAGCCGGGCACGCACATGTCCTTCATAGTGCCCGAGCAGCTGACCAAGGAATCGGTGGATGAGTTTGTCCACGACCAGAATGGCTTCTTCTATGCCATGCCCGTCAGCGAGGTGATGGGCTTTGTCAGCACCAAATATCAAGTGGCATCGATGCCGCATGCAGACTGGCCCGATGTCCAGCTGTTCTTGGGCAGCTATGGCTACGGCGCCGACGGCGGCATGATCGGGCGACGCGGCGCCGCCATCACGCTGGCCAACTATGCCGACTCCTTCGAGCCCATACAGTACCAGGATTCGTTTGTGATCGCACCGCTGTTGATGCGTCCACGCTCGCGTGGCTATCTGCAGCTGCGTTCCTCGGATGCGCGCGTCCATCCGCTGATCCATGCCAACTACTATGATGATCCGCTCGACATGGCCGTCATGGTGGAGGGCCTCAAGATGGCTCATCGGCTCGCCCAGACGCCGGCCATGCAGCGGCTGAATGCCACGCTCAACATTTACGAGTGGCGCAACTGTCCCGAGGTGGAGTACCTCAGCGATGCCTTCTGGGAGTGCCTGGCCCGATATTATTCGCAGACCATTTACCATCCGGTTGGCACCTGCAAAATGGCGCCCGCTCAGGATCCGTACGGTGTTGTCGATCCACGGCTGCGCGTTCGCGGCCTGCGCAATCTGCGGGTCATCGATGCCAGCATCATGCCCACCATTCCCACCGGCAACACGAATGCGCCCACCCTCATGATAGCCGAGCGGGGCGCGGACATTATCAAGGAGGACTGGCATCATTATCCACACGGCGGTTGGCTCTAAGTTGGCCCCCCTCTCGCGTGTACCTCTCGCACCCTGATCTTGGCTATGAACTAAATCCAAGCTGTAGCTCATATTTCTTAACATAAGAATCTATAAATAAATGTATACATAAACCAAAAGTAGGGTATGCCGACAACTGAATACCCTTTAGGCTTGTGGCTTGCAAGTGCTGTAAAAGGGAAACTCTTCTCCCGAGCACGTTTTCCATGACAGCCATATGATATAGTCGTCCGTTGGGATGCGTCAAGATTTCTCGAAGAACGAACACAAAATTAAACTATGTGATATAATGAGAAGATCCTAATAATATTGTGCTCCTATATAAAGAGCATTCTGAGACTTTTATATGCCAAGTTTGGTCCCAATATGTTGAGGAAGAAGAAAAGCATTTTATACAAAATTTGGTAGAGTCTTCCCATTATTCCAATTATCCGAAGTAAAACGATCTTAATAAGATTCCTTTCATATATAAAGAGAATTTTAAGGGAGTTTGGAAGCTTTTACGCCAAGTATGATCGGAATATTTTGAAGGTGAAAAAAGTGATTCAACTTTATTGTCGACCGACTCTTCCTAAGGCAGCTATATTATAAAGAAGTCCGTTCCGGCCGTTGCGAACATTCATCGACTTGACTAAAACTGATCAAGAATATATATATATATATATATGTTTTTGTATATATATATTATGTGCACACTTTATGGGCTCGAAGACCTCTCTTTCTAATCGTCAAACTTTTCGTGGCCAAATAAATTGTTCAAAATATAATCGAAACTCACATTGGCCTAGCGAAGGTCAAAAGCTGTGTTTTAACTGAGCTACAAAGCGGACAAACAATAACTGTATTCGTGTACTCGAGCCGAATGGCAGGGGTCAATGCTGAGTTGACCTCTGGCGGGCTCAAGTATTGGCAGCCTTGTCCCATTCAAGAGCCAATTGCTTGGCCGCACCACAATTGCCAAATCCAAATCCAAAGACAAAACAGCCCAGCTGCAAATGTGCACGTGCAGAAGCTACTGAAAGCGACGTTCCAAAGGCATGGCATTAGCTGGTTTACTAACAAAAGCTAAATGCTACAAGTCCAAAAGATCAGGCACATCCAAAAGGATATTTAACCCAAATTATGGGAAACGTAGTGCCAAATTCCTTAGTCACAGACAGAAATTAAAAAAAAAAGAGCGTTGAACTAAGAAGCGAGATGTCGCCGGTTCAAAACAAGCAATTTGTGTTTAAATTTGTTTGTCACAAGAGAATAAATAACAATATTTCGCATTGAGCACACATAGCTTGAAGCTTAGGGTTCGAACCAGCGAGAAAGCGGAAGACCGAGTATAATATGTGTGTGTACTTCAAGGCATGACAAAATGCATTTATATGAAAAAAAATTAAATAAATAAATTATTCATTCATTCATAATTATGCAGCATTTTTACAATTCCCAACTAGATAATTGTACAAACAATTGAAAATAAATAAATGCTTCAGATTAAATTGAGTTATGTGAATGGGAAACCAGATTGGATCATAGTTTTTTTTTTCTGCTAATTTTTTCTTTGCGGGCGCGCAAAGTGTGGCGCGGGGGCGATCAAAATGAAAGATCGATCAGCGCATTTGCGCCTAATTGTGCTCGAAATGTCAGCCGGAGCAACAGTTGCTGCTGCAGCTGCAATTGTTGCTGCCGTGGCTGTTGTTGCTGCTGTTGTTGTTGCTGCTGTTGTTGTTGATGTTGTTGCTGTTGTTGCTGTTGTTGTTGCTGTTGTTGTTGCTGCTGCAGTTGCTATTGTTGCTGCTGCTGTTGCTGCTGTTGTTGTTGCTCCTGCTGTTGTTGTTGTTGCTGTTGCTGTTGTTGCTATTGTTGCTGCTGCCTCTGTTGTTAGTGCTGCCTCTTGTTGTTGTTGCTGGAGTCAAGCTGAATCAGTTCCCAGCACATTCTGGCGACATTGACAGCAGGCGCCTGCAATTTGTTGCATGTTGTTGCTGCTGCTGTTGCTATTGTTGCTGTTATTGTTGTTGTCGCAGTTGCCGTTTTGGCGCGTTTTATGAGCGGGCGCTGAACCAAATGGCAAACGCGACAAGTTTTACCAGTTTGCCGACCGCCTGTGCACTGCACGCACACACACACACAGATACACATTTACAGTGGTCGGCTGTGCTGAAGTTTTCAAAAAGGTTTCCGAGATTTTCATACGGGCCAGTACACGACATCGCCTGCTGACAAAATGACGCGACTCAAGCAGCTCCAGCTCCAGCAGCGCCAGATCCAGCCCCGCCGACAATTGCAGCTGCAGTTGCTGCTGCTGCTGCTGCTGTTTGGGCTGCTGCAACTGTTGTCCGCAGTTGCAGCACGGCCGCAGCAACAGTTGCTGCTGGAGGCGGCGCAATCGGACACAACAGTAACAGCAGCAGGCACAGCATCTGGAGCAGCAACAGCGCCAGCTCTCAACGATCCTTCGGGTGAGTTACTCTGCCTGCGAGCGCTGTCGGGCTGCCTGGACGGGAGCTGCTGCCGCAGCTTAGACTCTCAGTTATATCTGCTGATGATTTCTTTACAGATCTCAGTGCTGGCCTCAATCTGTTGCCCGTGAGCAATTGGATTGCGGCTGCCGCCAATGCTGAGCCGCCGGCGCCCGCCCAATTCGTGCGCATCGCCATGAACAGCGGACTGTGAGACGCTGCCGTCGGCCGACAGATGGCGCTAGCTGCACCATCAAATACTCAACTTGTGTTTTAATTTAATTAATTTCCCTTTTTTTTTTTTTTGTTATATATACATTTTTTTTTTGAACGCCCCATCAGTTAGAGGCTGCAAAGGATACAATAAAATATTGTGCATAGACAGCAGTAAATGATAAGTGCATCAATGGGAACATGTATGGATAAATGGATACCCAAGGTATATTATAAGTGCGACGCCATTTCTGTGATAGCATTTGCCAGGGTTGCCACCTAAATGTAATATCGATTTTAAGACTTGGTTTCTTAGGCATAACTCGAAGACTACAGAAGCTAGCTGCGCCAAATTTGACAAGTGGGTTGACGTATGGTATTTGCGTACTAGAAACAATTCACTTTTTGGCTAACTGCTCCCATTATCCGCTAAATTGTAAAATACTCATTTGTTGAGACAGAACCTTCCGCCTTGGAATGCACGCACATTTGGGTGACACAGTTGGGCTCTAAAAATTTCATAAGGATCGGACTGCCAACAGCCAAGTTATATAATAAAGACTACATTTCTCATGGTGTAGGACTAGGGGAGGAAGCCGAGGCGGGAATATTATGCACCATCATATAGGCTAATAGAAAGAAGGACAAATATTGCCAGTCCAGTTCTCGTAGAGCTCAGCTCAATTGCGGCATATTTGACATTCCCATTCTACAACTCTCTACAGGGTATCCATTGGCTGGGCATTATTTCACGTTACTTAATGTCAATCGCGTTGCCTGTTGCGTTGACTTGTTGTTTAAAATGCGGTTCTATTCTGGGGCTTGTTGAAAAGGCGCCTTTTATGGCAATTATAAGACAAAAACTTTAATCGGTCAGCAAAAAACTGGCAATTTTTAATGTCATTGTTTCTGCTGTTGTTGTTGTTGTTGTTGGCGCTTACAGAGTGCCTGTCCTTGAACGACATTGTCTGGGTCTGGGTTACACCTGGTTAACAGCAGCACAACACAGTCATAATATATACACTAATTACAGCCGGGCGATTAAAAATGTGCAGTAACTGCTTGATAAGATGATAGTACTTAATATGCTTTATTGAACTTATAAATGGAAAATATTTAATAATAGAACAATAAACTATGGGCTCAGCCTTAGGCAGGTCAGTTCTGGCAAACTCGAAGTTTGAAGATAACAACATGCCAGGAGCACTGCCTGGTAATGCCAAAATGCAGGTGCTATGCGAGACTGTTTTCCTTTGTTATGCCTCTATTATTCCCATAAAGCAATTAGCTCAACAAGTTCTTTAAAGGCTTACGCAATTAAAAGCTTGTTTGAATTACGACTCAGAGAGTTTGTATATATGGAAAATTCAAGATTATTCCAGACAATGCTGACAAGAAAGAACGACTATCCCATATATAAATAAATAATCTCCCAGATAAGTGGCTCAGAAATGCTTTGTTGGGAAAACTTTATTGCCGACCAGTTGTGACTGTAGCAAAAAATTGAAAAACAATGCGAAATTTTCCATTTAACAAGTCATCTTCTAATCGATTCTTTCTATAGATATAGTGTATATAGAACTCTATTGGAAGCCGTAAAAGCCCAGTTTGGCTAAGAAAGTTTTCCCTTACAAGAACTTAATACAAAGGACAAGATCTAGTAAGAGGAATGCAAAACATTCGCCTGAACTATGCTTATATAGCCGAACCTTGAACTATTTTAAAAGACTGAAAGCTGGGCACAGGCTTTTGTTAGGCTTTCTAGAATTAAACTCTGAGCTGTCAGTATGTTTCTGAGTTTAATGAATTACTCATATTAATGCCGACGTGATTTGTGAGCATGTCATGCCAAAGACGCTGTAAAAAGCACGAAATTAGTCAGTCAATCGATTGGTCAACTAGTCAGTCAATCGGCCAGCCAATTGGTCAGCCAATCAATCAGTTTGTCAATTAGTCAGTCAACCGGTCGGTCCACTAGTCAGTCAGTCGGTCAACTAATTAGTCGGCCAATCAGGCAATCAATCAGTTAGCCAATCAATCAGTCAGTCAATCAATCAGTCAGTCAATTAGTCAGTGAATCGATCGTTCAATTAGAGTCAATCGGTCAGTCAATCAGTCCGCCCATCAATCAGTCAATCAATCAGTCGGTCAATCAGCTAGTGAATCAGTCCAGCGGTCAGTCACTCAATCAAACGGTCAACCAATCAGTCTGTCCATCGATTAGTAAATCAGTCAGTCAATCAGCTTTTCAATCAGTCAGTCAACCTCTTATCGCAGCTGCTCACGTGCTGAGTCCCTGGGGAGACGACTTGGCACACATGAAGCAGCTCGTGCTATTAAAAATAGTTGTTGTCACAATTGTTGTTGTTGTTGTTGTTCTCGTTGTTTTCGAGCTAAACGTGAAGTCAACAAAAGGCAAAGCTGGTTGTTTTTGCTGGCTAAGGCGACACAAACACCATGATAACTAGTCAGTCCGTCCGTCAGTCAGTCAGTCAGTCAGTCAGTCAGTTTGTCATTCGGTCAGCTGCCCGCTTATCGCATCTATAAAAGCAAAATGCATTCGCTGGCGTCGCCTCAAAGCGTACGCATTCCCAATGCTGGCAACAACAACGAACCAGAGCCACATCTTCAGTCCCGGCGATCCGCAGTGCACGCCGCCCGGCACCGGCCTCTGGAGCGGACTGTTCCAGATGCTGCTGCAGGCCCTGCTCGCGGCCCAGTGCAATGTGGCGCCGACCACGCTCTGGCCACCGGACTATGGCGATGTGGTGGGCACGGATGGCTTCGGCGAGCCCTACGACTTTGTGGTCATTGGCGCCGGCTCAGCGGGCTCCGTGGTCGCCAGTCGCCTCAGCGAGAATCCCAATTGGCGTGTGCTCGTCCTGGAGGCGGGCGGTGATCCGCCCGTCGAGTCCGAGGTAAGTCTCAAGCAATTCAACCCATATTTGCACTTGTACTCAGCGTCAACTGTGTGAATTTGGTGGACAAACAATGTCAACTATGAACGGGATTGACATAAAAGCGGCAGCTATGCCCATATAAAATACTACACAGACACAGACGTGGCTAACTCCGCTTGGTATATTGAACAAATAAAAGGGTATCTCAAGTGATTAATGTGCTCCGTGTGTGCATTGACATTGCGCTAATCAAACATATGCATATATACTGCCCTTTTGCGTAAAGGGTACTTCAAGTACTTCAATATATACTAAAATATGCGACGAGCAAACGTGAATATTTTTATTGAGTATCAGAGGAACTTTCCGGTGCCGATGAATAATGTGAAATGAATAATGTCGAAAAGGCAATGTTTAACTATTAGTTTTTATTATTATTAATTGATTTGAACCGGCGACCTGCGGTATTTAAATATGCACAAAAATATACCGAGAAAAATACACATTGCTCATACAATTCCTTATCGCCTCCCTTTTCGTAATGTATTTATTATCGCTTCTGCTAGATAACAAATAAACTATTGAGTTCGAACCTGCGATCTGCCGCCAATTCATTTGTGATAACTGCTCTTATTCAGAATTTCTCCGAGTGCCCCCTTTCGAGCACTGTTATCAGTTGCATGTTAACATTATGTTAACAGAATATGCGATAAGAATTCACGTAAATTTATGGAGGAGGATTTTTGTTAACTAATCTTCAGCTTATCAGCTGCTGAATTTGCATTCTCATATGTTAACATTTACAAAACTCGAACACACTTGAAATGTAAATGGATATTACATACATAAGGGAGTTGCTTAGTACTTATAAGAAGAAGAGATGGTTATCTTAAGACAGCAATTTACAAGCTAATGCATTCTTAACGAGATACGCGAATTCACTTATTTGAAGATATTACAAAAAAGAAAAAGAAGATAATAACATCTACAGTATTTATGGTTAATTCTTGTATTTGCCCGTTAGCCAACAGTAAAATTGATGGAGAAACTCTTTAGATAAGTTCGAAATTGAGTGGTATATCGAGAAAAATCTTTAATCAACCATCAGAGATATTAAAAACTATTTCACGTTATAATAGAATCCCTTATCCTGTTCCTGTTCAGCAAGAGGGAGAAACTCTTTAGAGAAACTCTCTAGATAAGTTCAAAATCAAGTGAAAATAAGGGAAAATATCTTAGGAGCTGTGGGTTGAGTAAGAAATTGAAGATGAGATGAAGCTATAATCATATTTACGACTAATCAATATGATAAAAGAAGAAGAACAACTAAGAGAGCTCTAGTCGCAAGTGCCCGACTAGGGGATACACTAAACCATCTTCGCCAGGGGTAGCTATAAAATTAAAGATACTTGATATTTGTAACGATTGCTTGGAAACGGGGCCAGTTATCACTGAGCACGGTGAGGATCTGGGAGGATCACCTGAAATCTCTTTCCAGATTTTGGTCCGATTTCTGTTTTTATATTATTTTTTTTTCAATATACTAACTGTCTCCCTTTCTCTCTCTCTCTCTCTCTCTCTCTCTCTCTCTCTCTCTCTCTCTCTCTCTCTAGCTGCCCGCTTTGTTCTTTGGGCTCGAGTTCAGCGATTTCATGTGGAACTATTTCACGGAGAACAGCGGCACGGCGTGCCAGGCGCAGCGGAACGGACGCTGCTATTGGCCGCGCGGCCGGATGCTTGGGGGGAGCGGAGCCGCCAATGCGATGCTCTATGTGCGTGGGAATCGGCACAACTTCGATAGCTGGGCGGAGCTGGGCAACACAGGCTGGAGCTATGACGAGGTGCTGCCGTATTTTGAGCGTTCGGTGCGTTCGGTGGGCAATGTGACCCATCCGCAGGGCTACATGACGCTGAACCCCTTCGAGCTGCAGGACGAGGACATACAGGCCATGATACGCGCCGGTGGCCAGGAGCTGGGCGTGCCCAGCGTTGCGCAGTTCGCCGAGGGCAGCTATGTGGGCTATACCTCGGTGCCGGGCACCGTGCAGCGCGGTCGGCGCATGTCCACGGCCAAGGGGCATCTAAGTCGGATCGCGGAGCGCCCCAATCTGCATGTGGTGAAGCGGGCGCAGGTGAATCAGTTGCATTTCGATGCGACCGGCGCACGTCTGGAGGCGGTCAGCTTTGTGCGTGGCGAGCGCACCTATCGCGTGGGCGTGGCCAAGGAGGCGGTGCTGTCGGCGGGCGCCATTAATTCGCCGGCGCTGCTGCTGCGCTCGGGCATCGGACCACGCGAGCAGCTGGAGCAACTGCAGCTGCGTGTGCAGCATGAGCTGCCCGGCGTGGGCCGCAATCTGCAGGATCATGTCCTGGTGCCGCTGTTCATGCAGCTGGACGAGGGTGTGGCCCATGCCGCCAGCCAGCAGGAGATATTGGACAGCATCTACACGTACCTGATGCATCGCACCGGTCCGCTGGCCAGCCACAGCACTGCCTCCCTGGTCGGCTTCATCAACACGGCGAACAGCAGCAGCGATCCACGCTATCCGGACCTGGAGTTCCATCATTTGTACTTTCAGCGCGGACGCCACGACTCGCTGGCCCTGTTCCTCAACGGACTCGCCATCCAGGAACGCTACATAGAGCATCTGCAGGGCCAGCTAACCCAATCCCATGTGCTCTGCATCTTTGTCCAGCTCTCGCAGCCGGAATCGGCGGGTCACCTGCAGCTGCAGAGCACGGACTACAAGCAGCCGCCGCAGCTGTTCAGCAACTACCTGGACAAGCCGGCGGATCTGGCAACGCTGCTGCGTGGCATTCGCCACCAGGAGAGCATGACGCAGACGGAGGCCTACATGCAGCGCCACGCCCAGCTGGTGCACGTGCCCATCGAGGAGTGCGACGGAGCGCACAAGTTCGGCAGCGATGCGTATTGGCGATGCTATACGAAGTACTTCACCGTCACCTGCTACCATCAGGTGGGCACCCTCAAGATGGGCCCTGACACGGATCCCGCTGCCTGTGTCAATCCACGGCTCCAGCTGCGAGGCGTCGACAATCTGCGCGTGGCCGATGCCAGCATTATGCCCAACGTGGTCAGCGCCAACACGAATGCCGCCACGGTGATGATTGGTGAACGGGTCGCCGACTTTATAGCCCAGGACTGGGCGGAGGCAGTGCAGCAAAAGGGACTGCATATGCACGACGATGAACTGTAGAGGCTCGGGCGAGGGCACGTCTGGAGTTGATCTTCTTTTTTTTTTTTTTGTACATTTAATTAATATAAAAGCTATATATTTATATCGGAAGCCCCATGAGTTATTATTGTTTTAACCGAAACCGTGGGAGCCTTCTAGGCTGAATGGTTCACATTGTGTCACTTCTGTGATGAAAGCGCGTAGTAAGACGACGTTTTGAAGAATTCCACCTGCAGCGGTGGAAAATTGGTGGAAATTGGTGAAAGTTAGGAAACCACTTCGTTTTACTTTCAGGCTCTTAACCAGAGACCTTTGAAAAACGCTCTGCGATTGCATGTGATTGACTGATTGATTGATTGCTTGCTTGATTGACTGACTGATTGACAAAGCGCCCACGTCTAGGCGGTGGGAACTTGGAAGAACCGCATTTTTAAAGCAGCTTAAACAAAAAATTCTGACTTCAGACTTAATTTCTTGCGCAAATTTCAGATCGATTAACTTAATTTATTGCGTAGTGAGTCTGGAGTGCGTTCCCTCAACTGCCAAGTCGAATATGGCACATTTCTGTCATTCTATTTGTCATTCTGTGTGGTCATTGAATTATTAAAATAGTTCCCGGCAGAGTTCACAAGCTTTTGAACCATACGAATGCATTATTACGCTTTATGTTTTGCTTTGTGACTTCGCAATTGGATGGATTGAAATGCAAGTGCAGAAACTATATCAAAGCAAATTGACAAACAGAACAATTACTCAAGTTGCCAAACAAAAACCGCACTGAATCAGGAAATGGGTTCCAACCCAGAACCGAATTATTGATATTGCTATCGGATTTGCAGCCCTGCCTCGTCTTGTCCGTCCGTCCACCAAAATAAGAGCTGGAGAGGCCAATTTTAGAATGTAGGTTCTCTTCTATTATTCGAATATAAATAAAGCGATCAGCAAACCAGATTTTGCTCTATCATAATTCGGCGATCAAACGAGCTAAACACAACAATTTTATAGTCCAAGCTTGATTAAAAATTAGCAGAACGGGCATATTAGTCCTCGGCAGCTGTACGTAACTGACGAAAGGAAGCATCGCTGCACCCATCAATTATATATGTATATATTCTTGATCAAGATGACAATCTGAACAAGAGCTAGGCACTTGAAATATCCTCGTATACCATTCCCAGAATGAGTTTGTCAATACAGAAACCTTTTTGAACACCGTCAGCCATCTCGCTTACTTTTAAAGTCATGAAATCTTCATAAAGATCGGACCTTAAGCACCGAAGTTAACTAAAGAGAAGAGGGGCAGCTGGGCTTTAAGTTCAGGGTATCTGCTCGTCGGGCAATCCCAAAATAGATACTCCTGTTTATGTAGTCGGGCAACAACATAGTAAACAGATAACAAATATTTTAATTCTTAATAGGTTACCCTGCTCTTCGTAAAATGCAAAAGTAAATGAATTTTTGGAGCTCTAGCTAGATTTTTGGCACACATTTAACTACATTCTTGATACTCTGAGAAGCCAACATCGATGCGACAACAAAACCAGAAATGATTGAGGAACCAGTTTTCCACAAAGCGGGGCTGGGAGACAGAAGCGAGCGGAGTCTTGTTGTGGGTAGGTGCGGGTGGTTGAGAGCTTCTTAGAGAGTGTCTTACAACTGATTAGAGGATATCTCGGGGTCAGGCAGATACGAACAAATACTCCTTGACTGTTGTGCTGATAAAGCTGGCGACAGGGTTTCGCGTTGTCGATCGAGGACTAAATATCTTACTAGATATAGGTCAGCAGTAGATAGAAGAGAGAGAAAACGAGAAAGAATAAAAGAGAAAGAGGGACGATTGAGGAACATAAGAGAAAAGAGAAGATTAGAGATAGGGAGAGGGAAAAGACAGGAAGAAAGCGAAAGATAGATTAAGAGTTCTCTCAGAGAGAGACCGATAAAACAGAAACAGAAAGCGACTGGGAAGAAAAGGAAGAGGAAAGAGAGAAAAGAGAATGGAAGAGAGACCAAGTAATAAAGAGATTTATTGGGTTATCGAATGAGTGAGAAAGGGAGAGGGAGAGGGAGAGTGAGCCCAGCCCCTGGCTAGACTGCACTGTTTTGGCAGTGTGCCCAGCGCGTCGCTGTGACCGAGCCCACAAATGTGGGTGAGGTTATGTTTATGCCTGGCCCAGGGGCGTGGCACAAGCCGCCCACCGTCCGGCTCGTGCGCGCACAGGTAGCGCATCAAGATACCGAAATGCCCTGCAAGTGGATTTTTTTTTGGCTTATCGGAGTCAGCGCTGGTGACTTATCAAAAGCGAGAGAGCAAGAAAGAGAGAGAGAGAGAGATAAAGAGGCGGCACGACAGCTATGGACGCATGGATAGATGGATGGATGGCAGGTGAAGTGGGATCATAAAAAACAATTTGAGGCCCATAATTGAATGGGCCACCCCACCGGCGCTTATCAGGGGCAACCTCTAGTCGGTGGTCGTTTAGTATTTTGCAGTCGTAGCTGCGGCTTCGCCTTAGCTCTGGCTGCACCCGCTCTCGAATGTCACATCTAATCTCTGTGTGGCAGTGATAAAGGCGCGTCCGGCAGAGCTCGCTGTGGTGTATGGACATACACATAAATACATAACTATATATTATATACGCATTTGTGGTCTATTTGCAATGCAAATGGCGCAGGTGATTTACGGCGACGCGTGCGGCATGCGAATGCCAGCCGGCGGCCGGAGAGCGTACAAATGCCGGCTGCCGGCCACGGCCGGCGAACAGTAGCGCACGGACAGCGCCAGTGGGCAGAACGCCGGAGTATTCTATTTGAAAATATTTGGTACGAAGATGGAGTTCCTGAGCGCTGAGTGCGCGGCCAGATCGGCGGGCCCGGCCAATACGCTGATGTCGCTGCTGCTGCACACGCTGATTACCAAATTCTGCGATCTGAGCGGACAGCAGCAGTGGCCGGCGGATCGCGGCGATTGGCTGGAGCAGGCGGGCGGCTTTGAGGAACCATACGATTTTGTTGTCATTGGTGCGGGCAGTGCGGGCTCTGTGGTCGCCGGCCGGCTGGCGGAGCAGGCCAATTGGCGCGTCCTGCTGCTGGAGGCGGGCGGTGATCCGCCGATCGAAACGGAATTCGTTGCCTGGCACATGGCCACACAGTTCTCGAAGTGGGATTGGCAATACCATACGCAGCCGAACGGACGCGCCTGCATGGCCATGCTGGGCGAGAGCTGTCACTGGCCGCGCGGCAAGATGCTTGGCGGCACCAATGGCATGAACGCGATGATCTATGCGCGCGGCACACGCACCGATTTCGATGACTGGGAGCAGAGGGGCAATCCCGGCTGGGGCTATGACGAGGTGCTCAAACATTTCCGCAAGGCCGAGGATTTGCGCTCCACCCGAGCGGACTACAAGCCCGGCGATCATGGCGTCGGCGGACCCATGAAACTGAACAACTATGTCTCGGACAATGAATTCCGCTCGACCATACGGGCGGGCATGCTGGAGATGGGCTATGGCAGTGCGCCGGACTTTACCGAGGGCTCGTTTGTCGGCCAGATGGATATACTGGGTACCCAGGATGGTGGTCGACGCATTACCACCGCGCGCTCCCATCTGCCCAAGGATGCGCCCAATTTGCATATTGTGCGACACGCCCACGTCAAGCGTCTGAATCTGGACGACCAAAAGAGGACCGAGAGCGTCACCTTTGTCCATCGCGGCGGCAAGGAGTACACGGTGCGGGCCAGCAAGGAGATAATCCTCTCGGCTGGCGCCATTGGCAGCCCACAGATACTCATGCTCTCAGGTAGGTGCAGGCAAAGCCAAACAATGTATTCCAAAGCAGCCCAAGGTTGTCCAAGGTTTCTCAATGTCAAACTGCGTATCCCCAGCTAATCGCTGCTCTCTTTAATCTTTGCCCGAATCGCATAAACCCGATAAGATAGTCCAAAAATAATAATAGAAATGTTATGAATGAATAGTTAGAGACTTTTATGGCCGTGATAAGCTTATCCGATAGTTGTAGGTTCTATAAAGCCCAAAGAAAACAATAATAGCTTCTACATGCGCTTTATTCCAACGAAGAACACTTGACTCGGAGATACCTTTCTACATTCGTAGTGCTTGCTCAGTTGGACCCAAGCCAATACTCCAATTTGAATGCTTGCATACTTCTTTGAAAAAGGATTGGTCTTCCTTAGACCTTAGGAGCTTAGACTAGTCCTTGAGTATCACCCATTTGCTATCTATTCCAATCTGTTATTTTGTGTTAGACCCAACTAACAAACTATCCTTATCCGTAGAGGTCATCAGGTTCCTTGTTCTTGACTATGTTTTAATGAGTTCCGTATGCATCTTAGATTGGATCCTTTCTAGGATGTTCAGCCAGATTCGCAGCATATTAAGAGACATTATGAGATATTAAGATTCAGCATATTAAACTATATTTGACTTATTCGGTTTCACTCGGTAAGGTCCAAGCCTAAGCAAATTGGGTGAAAAGTTTCTGCAATATCCCTCTCAATACTCCATCCTCGCCCTTTCTCCCTCTAAAATCCCTGCTTACATCCCTCATGATAATAACTTCCCCCTACTTTCGGCAGGCATTGGACCCGCTGAGCATCTGAGAAGCGTTGGCGTGCCCGTCAAGCTGGATCTGCCCGTCGGTCACAATCTGAAGGATCATGCCAGCCTGCCAGTTATCTTCCAGATCGATAAGTCAACGGCACGTAAGCCCACCGAAGAGGAGCTGGTGGATGCCATGTACAATCTGCTGATGGGTCGCTACAGCAAGCTGCTGCATCATGAGGCGACTGCCCTGACGGGCTTCATCAATACCACCTCGCTGCATGGTCCCAATCCGGACATACAGACAACGAATTTCTTCAGCCTAATGCAGAGTCCGGAGCTGCGTGGCTATGTGGCCGCCACCGGGTTCAATGAGCGCGTCGCCAAGAGCATTCTGTCGGCCAACGAGAAGTCCAACACGTATATCACATATCTGCTGCACCTGAAACCCTTCTCAGCCGGCCGCCTGGAGCTGCAAAGCGCCGACTATCTCGACGCACCACTCATCGATCCGGGCTACATGACCGATGAACGGGATGTGGATACCTATATACGCGCCCTGAACATCTACAAGCGTCTGCCCGAGACGCGTGCCTTTGGCGAGCGTGAAGCGAAGCTGCACCAGGTCGACCTGGAGGCCTGCAATGGCCTGGCCTATCAGTCAGACGACTATTGGCGCTGCTATATACGCCACATGACCACCACCGTCTACCATCCGGTGGGCACGGCCCGCATGGGACCCGCCACCGATCCCACGTCCGTTGTCGATGCCCGGCTCCGAGTCCATGGCGCCAGCGGACTGCGCGTGATCGACGGCAGCATCATGCCCGATATTGTCGGCGCGAATACAAATGCCGCCATCATTATGATCGGTGAGAAGGGTGCCGACATGATCAAGGAGGATTATCTGGGTGGGGCCAGCCACCACACGGAGCTTTAATGTGCCGTCAGCCTGTGAATCAGCCTCCGAGTTCTGTTCGGTTGAGGTAGCTGCAGCACACACTTTAATCATTTATACGATCTATCTTTTTCTTTTTTTTTTTTTTAATATTTTGTAGTTAGATAATAAATTGAGCAAGCTTCAAAAACATTTGTAGTTGTATTTGCTCAGTTCACACTAAAAAGCTTAACATTTGTGGTTTGAAGCTGCGCTAAGGGCAAGAGCTTAGAGCAATTGCATAGCTTGGCGCAGTGGCTCTCAAAGTTTTCTTAAGTTTTTGCACAGTGCTTCTCACATTGGCTCGCAGGGCACTTTGAGCGCTTCGCGCAGTGAGTCCCAAACCGCAGTTGCAAGCGTTTGCGCATGGTTTAGAATGCACTTAGAAGGCTTTGCATGACACGAAAGCGCGCTTCGGCTTATGTTTATCTATGCAGTGGCTGTAAAACTTTGGTGGTTGAAAGCTGCGCTTAACTTGCATGCAGTGAGTTGCCTTAAGAGCGCAGTGGCCTCTAAAACATGATGCATGCTTAACGCACAGTTGCTCTCAAAGCTTAACCACAAATCGCACAGAAGCGCTCAATGCGAAAGCGCATTTCTACAATGACTTCAAAACCACACCGAGAGCTCTTAAGCCCACGCACATTTAGGCAAGTAGGCTACCGGCTTGGAGGCACGAATTGAGCTCTTGGCGCAGCGCAGTGGCTCTCAAAACTCTTTGTACAGTGACTGTCAAAACAGTAGGCCAGGTAATGGGTAAGCACTCTGCTTACATATTGACCCAGTTCGAGTGTATTAAAGCAGGCGGCGACACGGAAATTGTCAGCGCCCGACTCAGGAGTCCAGCAGAGCATTGTGGGGAGCTCATTCACCTTCTGAGTTTTGTAGTGCTAACATCTAAAATTGTACAAAATTCGTTGTGCTTCAAAATTTGTTATGTAAAAATGGACGTCGATTTGGAATCAGTTGCGGGACCTTTGATCAGATTTGGTTATATAAAAGTGTCGGTAGAAGGAGATGAAGTATCAGAGTTGAAAGTTTTGGACATGTAGTTTGTTTTTTCTCTTTGTTGTTTTATTTGGTTACCAAGAACACGTTATAAAACACAAAACACAAAAACACAAAGACACGGTTAAAGAGATTTTTTGCTGGCCTTGCAAGTTTTAACATTGCTGGAAAAATTTCTTTATTGAAAATGCAAATGGGATTTACCTTTAACAACGCCAAGGTAAGTGCAAGCAGCGGTAGGAAAAACGAAGCTGTGATCCTGCCCTTTGCTCCATTATGGCATATGCAAATATGCAATATCCGAACATTTAAATATTCTTAATGGTATAAAACCACAACCCACAATTGGTCTATCTAGCTTTTATAATCATCGAGCTGTGCTCAAATAGAGATTAACCAATATGACAATAGGAATAACAAAATTTACTCGGTTCTGCGTATGGCATATGGGGTGTTAGAGATACCTGTTCAACTCATTGGGTTCTTACCCATTTTCAATGGATTCAGGGTGTTAATAACGTCTATAAGGCATCAACTTTCTTGTCCAACTGTACGAGCTCCCTAGATTTGAATGGCTGCCAAAATTTATAAATAAATATGCTTCTTCCTTCCCTTGGTTTTACTTAAACAATGCTTTTAAGCGAATGATTCATTCTGGCCAAGTAATGAACAGTTTCAGCCCAGCAGCTCGTGCCAAGATTTACAATAATTAATAATTAAATGTATAAAATAGGCGTCAAATTCCGAAGAGAAAGGCCGAATTAAATGTTAAACAAACTAGTTGCTTATTCAATTTTGTAAATTAACATTAATTAATTTGCAGTTCGCCCATTTGAAGTTGGGCCTTATTGGCATTGGCATCATAGGGCATATGCAAGAATGCCCATAAATAATGGCAACATTGATTGGTTTGTGGAGCAAGGTCCGAGGACGACGGGTTCCTTGTGTTTGCTCCGCTGGTTCAAATCCAAATCAAATTTGAAAACTAACAAAAGCTGAAAGAAGACATCATTCAAGTAACTCTGCAACACACACACACACACACACGCACACACACTCTCAAACACACACACGGACACAAAATATGAAACCAAGTTGGAGCTTAGCCTAAAATTGCTCTTCTGCATGATTATAAGCTTTATATATTTAATGTTGATACAGATTAGAGGCCAGGAGGCTGCCGATATAAATATATTTAATAGTTTTTAAACAACGCTGACCCAAAAGTAGTGTGGATTAACTGTAAGTAATATTATTTTAATTGTATTTATGGCTAAAGGCAAATTCCTTCAGTTCAAATTTAGTTTCATACACAAGAATGTGGAGCATGGTCCGAGCCCCAACTTGTGTGTGCTTCATTTCCAATTAGAATGCAAAAAACACACAGGACTTTAAGCAAATGCTTTAATCGAATTGTTGCGATAGATGATATTCCGATCAATATATATATACGTGTGTATATATCTAAACAATTCCAATTGACAAAGCAGGGGAGCAAGGTCCGAGGAGAAAATCCCTTGTGTTTGCTCTCGGTTATATATATATATATATATATATATATATATATAGATATAACATATCACGTTGTTCTTCATTGGTTACAACAATAGCAACAGACTCTCTGCAACTTGTACATAAATACATAATCGAACGAGAGAACGACAACAGACAGAAACAATTATATAAAGAACTAGGAAGCCAGGAAATACGCACACAACACAGACAACATACAACACCACACACACCCACACACATTATAAACAAACCCCAACACCACCCATCCCTCCCCCAAGAATCACAAGATCAGACATCCCCCAGCCCCTACCCCCCTTTAAAAATCGAACGCGATGGGGATACTTGTTGATATTGGGGACAATTCACACGAGGTAAGTACTTTTTAAATTGAAAGTGAAATAATTCAAGACTCTCTATTTTCAGACATATTAACAATTGAATAAAATTTTTAAAAATTTATAAAAACATTTTCTTAATCGTTGGTTGGGGCACAGACTCGGCAACTGGTGCGCACAGGTGAGTGCATTCTCTTTTTTGCCTTTCTATGCGATTCTCAAGTGGAAGAGTGGAAGCTCTAGCACATTATTTATTCTCTTAATCCTCTCTTTTTGTTGCACTCGCCCAATCTTTCCCATCTCTTTCAGTTGGCGCGAATTATAAATATTTATAATAATCTCCTGACGTCGTCGCAAATTTTCAGTTCACATCGCAAAACTACTCACGCCTGTGGATTCGACTGCCCCCAGTAGTTCGTCTTCCAGCATCAAATTTATATATTTGTTATAAATAATTAAAATAAATGAAAAAACATGAGCTTATGTAACGCTCTTTTGTTGAATGGGTCTGGGTCGGGGTCGGATGCATGGCTTTTGCCAATTGATGGATAGCTTTCACTTTCAGCCCAACAATTAATCGCTTCAAATTTTGGCTCATTGTTATGCCGCGAATACCACTTGGCGCCCCACAACGCAGCTGGCGGCGTACCGATGGCAGTTAATTGATGTATCGCACAAGTGCCCCCACGCAGCGAGGGGGCTTCAATTCGGAACTAGCAGATATTCCATTTTGTTGTTTCAGCTACTTTGCAGGGTAGTTGGCTTGAGATTCAATTTCAATAAAGATTCAGTTTTAATCGAGCTACCGTACCTAATTTGCCAAGACTAGCTCTGAATAATTCGAAATGTAATTCATTTGCATAAGGCAAATGTATGTTAACAAGCTGGCAACACAGAATTTGCAAAAGTATATGTTAGCCAACAATCTGGCAACGAAACATAAGAGAGCAAGCGTTCCCCTTGAAGTTGTAATTCTGCAGCTGCCTAAAAAAATATTTAATTTAATTTAAATATAATTTTAAATTTAAAAATGGCTATATCTGGCAACGCTGGAATTGGCAGAAGTAAATCAGTCTGGCAACGAGAGATTAGAAAGGAGTAAGAAGTTGCAATTCTACAGTAACCTAACAATAATTTGAAATTAAAAACAAAATGTAGTTATAGTTTTCAAAAAGGCTAACTCTACCTTCTCAATCTGGCAACACTGAAACTGACAGCAGTAAATATCAGTCAACAGTCTGGCAACGAATGATTAGAAGAGAGCAAGCGCATGATGACTTTCCATTTCGTAAATCTCTGGTACTTCATCGCAGTATACTTCTCTCGAGTATATCTCTTAAGACAGTCGTGTGAGTAATTCTCCCAGAATATTCCCCCAAGTAACTCACGGTAAAAACAGGGACGTTATCGTTGGCATATGAACTAGTTCCACATAGTAAGCGCTCTATGGCCAGGCCAGAGGATAGAGTTGGGCAATTGTCGCACACATAACGGACATAAGCTGTTGGCCGGGTTGGTAATACGAAATCGAGTCGGTTAGTCTGTAAGTACGCAATGAGATCCATGAGAGATGCGTTACGCAGATTTGACAATGAATTACGAGTGAGCGTGGCAACGATGACGGGCACAAATTCATTTGCAGGCATTTAGGCAACAGATTAGATGAGAGATGTCAGCCAAGAGCTACTTGTTGCCACAACCACCGTGTGTGTGTGTGCGGTAACCCACATGCGAGTACTACACACGTGTATCTGTATCTGCATCTGTATCTGTATCTGGGAAGTTACATCCGAGTGTTGCGGTTGCTGTGGTTCGCTTGTAAGTTTTGGGAATAGGTCACGTAGTGCTCGTGCAATATGCCACGCTCCGTTTGGCTTTGTGCTTGGTCTCAGCTGTGCGCACTTGTATATTACATATATATACATATATCTATATACACATATATTGACAGTTACAAATGCATAGATACATTTGCAGAGCTTCAGATACAAATGCATGTCGCACTTGCCGCCTTATGTTCGCTGCAGCAAAATGCTTGTCATTTAATAAACTTCATATTCGATTCATTCATTCAATTGCCTCATGCGAGCTAATAGAAATATGTTTTGCAGTAATTACCCGGCGTTGCCCAGATTAAATTAATTTAAACATTCAACTTACAAACAAATTGTTTGTGGCTTTCGTGTCAATCGAAATCGACAGTATTTGAGTTGGAAATAATGCTGGTTTGAACCTGCGATCTCACGCTTGCTAGTTCAACGCTCAGATACCTAACCTAACCTGCTTACTTGCCGACGATTTTCCTACAGTTTTTCTCCACTTGAAGTTCGAACTATTCAAAACTCCATTTTAGCTGACTTCCCATGCAAAATTGTGAAAATTGATCATCAATCAGGTCAAAATCTTTTGTCAAAGAAATATCGCGGCACACGTTATGTCAACCGGATTGCCTACAACTACTGCTGCTTCTTCTTCAATTCACATACCATAATCATTGTGCGTCTTGCGAGTGTTTTTGCATTTCACTTTTAATTGCTTTTGAGTAAATTTCGGTGTTGATTGGGAAAGTGACAAAGAGCTAAATAGATAGAAAACGAGCCGGAAACTTGTGTGCGCTTTATTATGTGCCGTCCGTAATTGTAGCGGAAGTGGTTTATAGTGGGTCACTTAGCCACCCAACCATTTCCCAACTATTTATCATCTCGCTATGAAAATGTTAAGTGTTAAGCTAAACAATTGCCAAGCCAGCGGCATCCGTTGCCATTGCATGCGACTAAATGCAGGAGAGGGGCTTAAGCCTAATTGAAAGACTTGAAAGACTCAGCAGATAGTAAGAGAACGGTTTATAGTCGAGGTGTACCAAATATCTTAAGGGTAGGTGTGAAAATGGGAAAAGAAATAAAGCCATGTCGAACAGCGCCATCTGTTGGGCCAATAGGGCATAAGATAGATTGAAGGCCTCGCAATAATTTTCAAATCTTAATAACTCGATTATTTATAGCCCAACACTTGTGAAATTTGAATTATAGTTAGAAAAGAGCTCACAATTAACGCATACCAAATTTCGTAAGCCTCAGTGCAATACATTTGCCTTTATGGGCGCAGCACGAGAGCTTATTGCACAACCCCAGAGATTGCCCCCGGCCATAAGTGCCTCATGCGCTGCACATTCCTCAATGACATCGAGTCATAAATGCCCCACTTCTCAGCCCTTGACCATTCTTGGATGGCAATAAACGACTTCACATCCCATTGAAGGGCCCTCTCAGCACATGGCCAAGCTCTACAAGCTGGTCAACTTTATTTGGTTAGTGACGTTTCATGTTTTCTTTTTTGTTTAACGGCGCTCGGGCAAAGCGTTTGTCCCCAGCGGAACTGACACATTTTCGCATGGAAAAGTCACGCACAGCAAAGAAAATGCCCAAAAATAACATAAACAAAAACCAAACCCGATCGTCGTCTGACCTTGTGACATTAGCCATATCATCAGCTAGAAAAACAATCCCATCGCATATCGACCTGGCGTCGCTTCGCGCTTTTTATTGTCGCTCTGTTAATTTGCGGTCATTACATTTTGTCTCGTCTCTTCTTCTTCTTCTTTGGGCGGCGGGGGCGGCGGCGGCTCTTTGAGGGCAAACACGGAGGAGCCTACTCGCGGGGTGCCCCCCGCTGCGACCCCCTCTCCTTTGATTCGTTTGCGTAATGGATTTCGATGACATTCAAACACTTGATTGAGACATGTGCGCGCGGTTAAACCTTAGGCAGGTGGGAGAGTACCGTTTTTTAAGTGTATGTTGTGCTACATTTTCTATTATTCATTTCGGCAGAAGAACCGAATCGAGCTTGATGTCAACTGAATGAGATTCTAATTGAGAATCCCACGCGCTAAATGCCAGCGAGTGTTAATAACATACATACGCCTGTTATGCTTAACAGCTGTGAGATGCGCTGTTATGCTAACAGTAACAAACCGAGCTTAACAGTTGTTCTACAGACGAACAAGAACTGCTTGTTATGTTACGAAACTTATGTGAAATGCTTAATGCAAGCACCAATTCTTTGATATCTTTTAGTGTATTATTATAAAAAGTAATAAACATATTAAAAATGTATATTAATTTATGATTATAACAATAAGTATGGAACATATTAGATTCAAGCCCGTATACTTGTTGTTCAGTTATCTGACTTCGTTAACTTATCGCCTTCAGCTTTATTCTGCATGCCTTTTATATGAATATTTCAACGTGCTTCCCAATTCGAACATAAATTCAATACACCAGTCAAGCTTATACATTACATGAATTTACTATCGCGTATTTATTGCAGTTCTAACAGCGTCACATTAACAGACACAGCTAGTCAGCGACTCTGTTATCCCGATTTTACACAGATTTGATCGCTTTACATAAAACCGTTTATGATGGAAATAAGATAATGATACCCCTCGCAATATAGTCACAACCGTATCAATATAATAATTAGGTAAACTGTGTGTAATTGTTGTTCTGTTATATGCGCTTTAACAGCGAAATCGTCACTTTAACAGCAATACGCTCTGTTAGTGAACGAGTATTATAGATACTTGAAACATGAACATGTAAAGAAAATGCATATCATTAAATATGATTAAACATCATTCAATTCATTCGTTCCATTGAAACCAATTGATTGGCACACACCAAAATTATTGTTTTCCTGCGGGTTTTTCCAATCATTTTGGCAATTGCGACTAACATTTCGAACAGGTTTTTTGTTTAAAACAATTTTTAGCAATTCTTCTGATACAATTTTGCATCCGCTGCCTGAAGAGATGACGACATTAATTCAGTTCCTTATCTCCGCTGGCTTACGTGAGCGCACACACACACCCCACACACCCCACACACTCGCACACACTCGCACACACTAGCCGGCAATCGTTCGCTAAGTGCACATAACTGTTAAGTGAGCATGAAGGTCGTTTGGTTAAGTGAAATAAAAAGAGAAGCGATTGAAGTAAAGTAAGATGCGAAAGAGTCAAAAAGAAAACCACAAAAATACAAAATGCCCATCGGCAGGCGAATTAAGCTGCCAGAGAGCGCTGCGACAGGAGCGCCAATCGGTTGCCAAACGGTTCGCAAACGGTTATGCGCTCGCCATGATATCGAGCACAACAACATGTACGTGTACTCAACCGTTTCGCAACAGCTCCCGCAGCAGCAGCAGCAGCAGCCGAAAAGGAGCCAACTAGCTGGAACGCGCTGCTCTGCACCGCTCTCCCATTGCGCTCTGTCTGTGTGTTAGTGTGTTTGTAGATTAGAGAGGAGCGCGTGTTGAATTGCATGTCAACACTTCAATATATATATGTAGATTTTGATTCACGAATTGCATTGTAAAAAGAAATTCTCAATGATTACCAGTTGTACAGCAACTATTATTCAGATTTGTTAATATCTGTGTCATAGTTAAATGGAGCTTTAAAAGTCTATAATTGAAAATTG